GACATATTGATGCTTTTTTTAGTCCTTTCCAGTTTGAGATAAAGACTATAGTTTAGAAAAAATCTGCCAACTTTATATTCTTAAATTAAGATCTACTCTTTTTAAGCCATTTCCTGTGTTTTTGTAATTGCAGTGGCCAACAGGTTTGTAAGTGAGTATGGCTTGGTGAGGTTGTCCATTGGAGAAGCCATGAGGAGAGTTCTAGTGGAGCAACCAAAAACGGATCTAGCCAAGTCCATCACTAAGCACCTGGTCAAGGGACTGACCGTTCCGGACGAGCTGGCTGTCCAGGCGCTGGATGTCTGTATCATGGACATGAGGTGTCAGACCAGGGGGTGAGTTCACTCTGCCAATACTCATATGCTGGACAGTTATTTTCAGAAACATACAATAGAACATTATAAAAACAAACTTACATATATTTTTTTTTTATACGTATTAGGTATGTGTTAGATGGCTATCCAATGACCAAGAAACAAGTGGACTTGCTGACCGAATGTAATATTATTCCAGTCAGGGTTATTGAATTAGTAATGGACAGCAAGGAAATCATGGTTAGGGGAATGAGGGACCGCATTGCCCCCACAAGGTAAATCCTAACAATACAATGGACAAATAGGCAAAATATTAGAATGTAATAGCTGCATAGATATGATAATTGACAAATCAAGGAAACAAATAAATTTTCAGTGGATATAATGCCAAAGCTTTTCTTGACAACATAGAAACAGGATTTTAAAAATGGAAAAAAATCCTTTATAAAATGCTCCAAAACAAGTGCATGGCTTTAGAATTGTTGGAATTTTTTCAGGACCCTTCCCCTACATGATAGTTCTCAGATTCTGGCGGTGAAATTAGCCGCCTACCACAAAGAGGTGGGAGCTGTCAAGGAGTGGTACACAAAAGAACACATGAACCACGAGCTGATCAGCGGTGAACGATCCAAGTGGTGGGTATGGAACGCCGCCCTCGACATCTCCAAGAAGAGTGTGTCACAGATACAGATGTACCTAAAGAGAATAGGAGACGGTGGGTTTATACTTACATCTGTAAAATTTTGAATCTTAAAAAAAGTACATATATTTAGTTTCTAAGTACATATCTTTATAAGTAATTATTTTGTCCGAAGGAGAAATATTTTACCCTTGTGTGTCTGTCCGTGTGTCCGTGTGTCTGTGTGTAAAACAAATTTTCGTCACAGTTTGCTCAGCAACTACTCATCGTAGATGCTTGAAATGCTAACACAATCTTCTCTGAGGCATGCCATATGGTGAGATACATTTTCGCTCAAATCCGATGTCAACTTCCTGTTTGTCTGTTTGTCTGTCTGTTTCATACATAACAAATTTTCGTCACAGTTTTCTCAGAAACTACTCATGGTAGATGCTTAAAATTTTATCACAATCTTCTCTGAGGCATGCCATATGGTATATATCCGATGTCAACTTCCTGTTTGTCTGTGGGTCTGTCTGTTTCATACATAACAAATTTCGTCACATGCAACTACTCGTTGTAGATGCTTGAAATTTTAACAAAATCTTCTCTGAGGTATGCCATATCTTGGGATACATTTTTTTCAAATTGGATATCAACTTCCTGTTTGTTTGTGCATCTTTCTGTTTTACACATAACAAATTTTCGTGGCAGTTTTATTATCAGCTATTCATAGTGGATGCTTGAAATTTTATTGCACCCTTTGTTAAGGCATGTCATATGGTGGGATTAATTTTGATATGAATCTAATGTCAACTTCATATTTTTCTGTGCATCTGCCTGTAATTGAACTTGTGTATACATATATATATATGTATATATTAACATGATAGTGCTTATTTACATCAGAGCGGGGGTATTACTAGTGAGCATTGGCTCACATATTTCTTGTTTTGTTTGCAAATATTTGAATGGATTTTCAGCTAAAACTTATTCATGAATTAACCTAGCTACACATAGTATTGTTCAAATCAAAACAATGAAAAAATGTTTAGTATAACATCATTATTTTATTTTATCACTGAATTCAGTCGCCATACTAAATGTTTAATATCCAATCTATATACAGGTCAAGCTGCTTCCATTGCCGACATGTGCATCACGCCTAACGAGTTCCTACAGCGTATGGGTGACTTTGGTCAGTATTGTCCAGTCAGTCTGGCCGACAAGAATGAACTCATCGACTGCTCCACCACCGTGTCTCTCAAAAACGCTGCCGAGTACAGAGGTTTGTCGACATCAGTGCTACTGATTTTATTACCTGTCTGATAAACTGTTAGGATAAAAATTGAATATTTAATATCTCACTCTTACTATTTATACTTCATTAATTTTGTTAAATTTGGAATTTCTTGGCTCCTTTTTCAGCTTTATACAGTCAATATCTGCTTTTTTTCAGGACATTATTATAAAATGGCTGGTCAGAAGGAACTGAACAAGTTTTTGGAGGACCCAGAGAAATATGTCCCCCCTCTGGCCCCCAACAAACTCCCCCCTCCAGAGCTCCTCCCCAACAGACACACCCCAGCCGACGTAAAGGCCTCCCAGGAGATAGAGCTGTTAGGATACTGCCCTGTCACATTCTTAGATGGACACTGCAGGTTTGTTCAGCAATCCTTCTATTTGTACCATGATTCTGATGATTCTAGTGTGTATTATAATAATGATCAGTACTGATTCAAAACTTGAACAAAAGTGTTACAACAATTTTTATGTGTATTTTGCTTTGCAAAAACAGATATGAAGCCATCGTCCCAGGAAAACCAGAATTCATTGCAGAATACAGAGGAAAATTCTTCTATTGTGAATCAGAAGAAAAACTTCTTAAATTTATGAAGTAAGTAATAACTTTCATTTAATAGCACTACTGTATGATTATGCGCTTTTAAAAAAATGGCAATTTTAATTGCTAGCAAACATGTCTTTCATGTTGATTTGCGTAATACCTTGTAGAACACCAGAGAAGTATTACGATTTGAAGCTCCCCCACAAGCTACCCCCACCCAAGGAGCCCCTCCCCGTAACCGGACTCCCTATGCTAGGGTACATGGAGCAGTCCTGTGCTACCGCCCTGGTCAAGGCTCTGACCGCCTGTGGAAACTTCAAACCCAAATACCCATTCCTTAATTCAAGTCGGTCAGCTCTTATGTATGTGGCCTATCATCTCAAAGGTATGTGAGAAACTGCTTTCATGTATTCAATTTCCATAAAATTTGTAAATAATAGAAATAAGGTCATACATGCAGTAAAATAAGAGTCTTATTTAGACATGGGATGAATACAACAATCGAAATTCATTTATACATATACAAAGTTTAAAATGATATGACCATGGTTTGTGGACACCATGTTCTTTACCGAACTGTAAATTAATTTAAACTTTTCACATTGGATGCATGTAGATATATCAGTTGTGTTTTGATAAAAAGGTTTCCTTTTTTTAACAGCATATAATCCCAAGAGTTCTGACTATGTGAGAAAAAAGTACAAGAAAAAATTACAGAAATTTGAAGAAACCTGTCAACTGATCCGTTACCTTGGTGACAATATGACAGTGAGGTACCGTGCACCCAATGATCGCCCGGGTGATTTTGACAACAAATTAGAAACATTCTTTGCTTTAAGAGGAATTGAACCAACAACAACGTGGATGGTCTGAAAAATAAAGACTTTTTTCTGTCTTTGTGAAATTGATTCCCCATCTGAGAATTCCAAGTGCATTATTGGTGTGAAAGGTGCTCATATGAAATCCTCTAATTACTCTTTTTATAGGCTTATATTGTAACAATTAACAGATGTTACCATAAAACTACTGCTGGTTTAAATTATACTTTACACTAGGAAGTCAGAGGTTACCCTCCGTTTACTTTTGTTTTATTATTGTTTATCAAGATCTACACTAGAGGAAAGCCTTGTTGTAAGAGTGTTTGGGAAGAAATCCTGTTATGCCTTCTATTTATATGACTGTGTCCTTATTCTGTGATAAAATTGTAATATATTATTGTATTGTTGACATTGTGTAATAGAAGAATTGGATTATGTCTACAGATTATTGAATTGTAAGGTTGTGGATATCCGTCCAATAAAATGTCATATGAAACAAAACCCAGCATGTTTTATTATTTCTCCTATAACAGGTGATTGTCTACCTTGATTCAATGTTTATGGTCATCCAACATTTTACTTTTTCATGGGCGATGTAAATTTATTGGTAACTCAAATACATAGAAGATTACATTATACATTGACAGAGTTGTTTATTCATGATAAGCCCCCCAAGAAATTACCAAATTTTGGTTCCTCCTAAATGATGATCCAAGCGTAAATGTACTCTAGGTATATACGTATAGTCATTGTATACAGTTTTATAACTAAATGTAACTAAGATGGTGATTCTTCTTTAATTGCCCCCTTTTATTTTCTTTTATCTACATAAAATGTATGTAGGTATTCAAGCTCAAAAGTCCATAAAACAATACAAAATAGGAGCAGAGAAAACATGGACCTCCAAAACATCAGAGGTGGGATCAGATGCCATGGAGGGGTGAACATCCCCTGTAGACCATTCACATCACACAACGTAAAAATCTATTGTTAATTCTGTGTGTAAATAATGGACTAACATGTAGTACAGTACACGTCTTCTTTCTATATTCTTTTCACAATCAATATTGTATGAGTTTTTCAATCTGCCTATATGTACTTCTCATATATCAGAGTGAATTATCAAATCTTAAAAACTGAGGACTATTAAAGATCTGTTTCTTCATTTGATTTATCTTTTGGGAAAGTAACACATGCCAAGAGTAGGTCACTGTTACCTCATTTTTGGAATGGCTTTCTGTTCTTCACACAGGTTTAGACCTAGGATTATCAATCCTCAATGAGTGAATCTTTATCACTTATAACCAAGTGCCAGGGACACAATATATTTAAAGCCAACAGTGAATAAAAATCATTTCACATAAGTGTGTTTAAGTGACTAAAGGAAAAGAAAATCAAAGGCATTCTAAAGTAATCGTTTATTAAAAAGAGATAGCAGATGTACAAAAATATACATAAATTATACAAGCATTTGTGTATCATCATAGAATTTTAAAAATTCCATATATCAGCATCACAAGTAAAAATTAAAAGACAAAGAATGAATCACAGTTTGCATATCACAGCCGCAGTAAAAGTTGAGAGTATCCATTTCCACACAACTACACAAGAAGAGTTCAGATTTCACACTCTATGTTAACCTAACAGCTAGAATCCATGTTTGATTGCAAAGCTCTGGTGCTGAGGTAAGTATACACATTGAATTTCTAAGGTTTATATTGCAAACTTCATGACATAATGAAATAGAAAGGGGCAGTACATTTGGTACATAATAATTTTTTATCCTATAAAGGCACCATGATTGAGAAAGATCACAGCAGTCTATAAACAAAGCAAGCAATAGCAGAACAGAGACGGAATATCAACACCAGTGAAAGTGGCTCTTATTTTATAGTAGAATTCCTAAGTTAAGTTTTCCCATAGTTCTCAGGGACTTTGGAGATAAGCTTTGATAAAGTCATTATAGGATATCATTCCATTTAAGTTCTTATCGTAATAGGACAATAGGTGGAAAAATTCATCCTCTCCTAGATTGACACTGAACTGTCGTAAAACATGGCGGAAATCAAGGGAGCTAACTGTGCCCTGATTTTCACGGTCCAGGGATCGGAAGAGTCGCCTCATTTCCTTCCAGTTCTGGAGCACACATTCGCGGAGTCGGATCATGGCATCGTAGAAATGCGTGCTGGTGTGGCCCGCTGATACCTACAATACAGTCACTAGAATTAGATTCTGTATAAAAATAAGTTGGTAAAAATCTCAAGATAAGAAGTTTATCATGAGAAACAAAATAATATCTTGAAGGTATGTCCATAAGAACATTTTATCTATGCAAGAAATAAATTAAAGGTTTTTTTAAAAAAAAAAAACTGCAATTTAAATCAGTTTTGTTGCATGAAGGAAAATTGATAACACAAATATATCTAGCCACAAGTCTAACCCTGACATTTATAATATATAGAATGCATCAAATGTGAACACTTTTAGCAGGCTAAAATACTCAAATAGCTATTTATATTTTATCATATTCCTGTTATATTATTTATTATAAAATGGTTTTGAGACTAAAATAGACAATACAATTCTAAGATGAGTCGTATGAAATCATATTTTTTAAAATTCGCAAGGAAGCAACGAATCAAAATAAAAGATATTGAAAAAAGATAAAATACATGTAAGTCAAATTGAATAAGGCTGAATACAGTGTATAAAGTATTAATAAAGAGTGACATGAAAATAAAATTTGATATTGATACTTTGAGGAAAGATGTACATATGATTGTGTGAACTTCAAAAGATAAAAAAAGCCAATAAAACCCAACATCAGATAGCTGCATTAAATTACCTCGGAATTCTCCGACAGTGTAGACAGGGACTATATAGAGCAAAATTAAACCAAATTAAAATACCCCAACATAACCATAACCACGGCAAAGCTTATCATTGTATATACATATAGTTTAGTCTTCCATATAAAAGCTGGTGATGGGTAACATCAGATTCTCCATTAAGGACAGATGATACAAAACAAACTTTTGTCAAAGAATTTGAAAATATCATATTGGGTCATGTTTAAATAAATAAAATGAAAAACTTTCACCGTGTAGTTTTTAATTTTTTACTCAAATTTCGACAAAAATGGGTGAAAAATATTTGTATAGATTAATAAGGATGGTTTTAGAAGGGTAGACTTTTGAACATCACAGAAGGTTTACAATTTCTTTATATTCTAGAAATTTATTATTTGCATCATTTTCAATGAAATTAGGCCAAAAAATATATATCAATCCAGGCATCCATTTTTTGTTTGTATCATCTGTCCTTCAATGCTTTTGCCCCCTGATGCACAATTAATCAAATACATTTACCGTTATAAAATTGCAAGTATTTTTAAAATTAATTAAGCATTAATGCTGACTCTGTCAGACCCATTGGTGCAGTCAGACTGTAAGGGAGGTGTACAACGGGCATGTGTAGAAATACATTTTAAGCCATAAATGTTTCATAATATTCATACACATTCAAATAATATCAAAATACCTTCCACTGTCTATGAAATATTGGCATCTGTGTTGCATTAATAATAACATCAAATATGTTAAATGAATTCAGATTTCTTAAAAAAAAATTTAGTGGTATTCAATGAATCAAACACATGTTTTAAGTTATATATCACATTCAACTGGTCACAAATTAAATTCAAACAAACATGTTAATTTGACCAAGCTAGGATTTACATAATGGATTCTATAACAGTAAGTGACATCACAATACTTACAGATACTCGTCCTGGAACACGTCGCCTTGACAATAAGTTTGGATCTTCCTGTGGCTTAAGATTTAAAATAAAGTGACGCAGGAAGTCGACATATGCAAATGAGCCATCCTCTCTCAGATCGTATTTAGTCATCAGATCATAAAATTCCTCTTCAGGCATTTCTATTCCATTTCTCATCAGAATGTCTATAAAGAAAATGCAAGATGTGTGTCAAGTAATTAATATTTAGAAATATATGTTATATAGATCACCATCCAGACTTTTTATTCAACAAATCAAACACCCTAGCCCCTAAAAATATATTGGTATGACCACCCACTACCCATGAATTAGCATATTCCTAAAAGCTGTGTATTTTACCAAATCCATGAAAATTGATGCTGACGAATATTGATGAACTCACAGTATTTAACTAACCTCTGTTTTTTAATGTTATCTCTCCCTCCATTCGTTCTTACCTCTGAGTTCCTCTATCTGGATTGTCCCTGTGTTGTGTTTGTCACAGTTACGACAACTCCTCTGGATTTCCTTCCAGTTTCGGAATATCCTGTTTTTGATCCTTGTTTCGGCACTCTCTGCGTTGATCATGGGTGTACTCATTCGAGTCTGAGCTCTGGACAATCGGGAACCGGGCCGCCCAAACTCCATCTGTGAGGAATAAAAATAAATCAGACATAAAGAAGAGTTTTTTTTCTTACACTTAAAGATAGCCACAACTAGTCAAAACTCTGACTCTAATTTTGGATCCAATCTTGTCACAGGGCTTAAAAATGGAAACTGGTGATTATCAGTTAATGAATTATCATCTAGAAGTTTGTAATTACACAACATGAGCGTGAAAGCCAGAGATTATTGAAATTTGAACAATAATCAGGCAACAAGTCTTGTGAGACACTAAATCTATCCTAACCATAAATACAGAAATAAATCCTTTTCAATTATAAATGACCCTAACCTGTGTTATTGACCTTGACACAGCCCTACTCTGTAGTCGTCGACCTGACATCTGTGTCCCGGGTCGACCATTCATCGTAGAGGCAGGTCTCTGTGGAGTGGGGGGAACCTCCATGTTGGATGAGTAACGACGGAGAAATTCCTTGTAGTCCAAGTTACCAAAATCATTGACAGGTAACGACCCCCATAAGTTGTCAAACTGCAACAATATTACAAAAAAAGATAAAAAAGAGGAAAGGTTGTAATTCTCGTAACTCACCTTTGTTCCTTATTTATACTGGAGTTATGTTTACTGTATCTACTTATGCTACAAAACATAATGACCAAAGAAATCCATAGAAATTTGCTATAAATCTTTCAAGCACCTGTTCATCATTAAATCTCAGGACATTCTTATCCATCACGTCCCTGAAGTCCTCTTTAGATACGACCCCGATGTTGGCGTAGTCCACCTCTTTGAAGAGGTTGACCAGTGTGTAGAAGTGGGCGTGTACTGCCTCCCGCACCTTCTCCTGAACCTCATCAATAGGCATCAGGGGCTGGGCCTGGTTCCTCATCTGTTTCTGTAGGGCAGCCAGCCATTTCTCGGCATCCTATTTCCAAAGAAAATTGAAAATGTGTAAGAAATTATTCCTATGGTGTCTAAGATTTTACCAAAGTTATAAACCAAAGAACTTGACTCACCTCTTGGTCGGACATATTGTAGTTCTCCAGGAACAGCAAATAATTGACAGACTTGTCCACCACCTGTAATTTACTCGTTAGGTGGCGCCACTGTGGGTCTGTCATCTTAAAGGCAAAGATGTCCAGCACTCTTCTGAAGTCCTTCATGGGAATCAGGTTGGACTGATTCTTATCAAAGGATGCAAAAGCCTGAAAAAATCATAAGGATTTGTCAACAGCTGTTTACAATTCAAATTTACTTCTCAAGGGTGTTCATCTATTAAAGTGTAACTTTGGCATATGTAAAAATCGGTATAGTTATTCAGGAAGCAGGACACGAGTCTCTTTGACCTGTCTGAGATAGTTCTTTTCTTTCCAATAAACATCTCCCCTCAACATTTCCCTGTGTTTCTATATCTCATGTGAGTTTGTTTACTCACCTTTCCTAGGACATCTCCCTGAGTCTCTATGATCTGTCTGAGTTTGCTCTCGGCCTCCTGTGGACTGAGTCCGCCCCATTCCTGGATCCTGACCTCGGGTAGAGGGCGCTGGTAGTGCTCCTTACGTCCCTCCTCAAAGGCCCTCAGGAACTCTTCATAGTTCAGACGACTCCCTCTGGTGCCAAGACCAATTCTTTAAAGAAAATAAAATTTTCAACAATATGTTACAAAGAGTAGGCAAAAATAATAAAAGGTTTAATGACAATCTGTAATTTGCATGCAAAAAATCTCGTTTTTCCCTTGGAAAATAAAGTAATAGGAGGGACATACAAATTGTTGATTTTGAATTTAAGGTCTTACTTGTCTATGAGTTTGAAGAATTGTTCATCGTTCATGAAGAAGTGTAGATCATTAAGAACATTCTGTATCTCGTTAACTGACAGGGATCCTTTCTTTTGTGTGTCATACTTCCTGAAGGCATCATACGTGTCCTTGTAATTATCTCGGATCTTATCCCTGAAACAAGGCAAAGAACTTTATTATACATGTATGGTGTCTTAAAATATCACAGTATCTTTTTTTTTTACAGTATGAATTCAACTTTTGAACCAACCACTGTACATTGAAGTTCACCATTTTTATATATCTTCCGCAATAAAATTTCTCTGAAAACTGGGTGATCTTGAAAGAAACATAAGCAAATTTGACAGAACCCTTCATAAAGTCAAGTACGTAAAATGACATACTTGAGTAGTTTCTCGACTTGTTCAGCATTCATGAAGGCGACCCTATCGGCCTGGTGTTTGGTCATCCTCTGATGCTTGACCAGCTGGTCATCATTGTGGTCCATGATTGTTTTATGACTGGTATCTATAATGTTTGTACTGGTTCCCATCGTATCAGCAGGAGTGAATTCTGAGGCTCCGAGTTTTTCCAAAAAGTCTTGATAATTAACATAGCCTTTTCCATCTTCATCATAGCTAAAAACAAATAGAACACTTATTTACAAATATATTTCATCGATTATTTATTCATAAAAAATTGATTCATCTTTCATAAAGTAATTACCTTTCCTCATTTAAATATACATGTACCAATTTTCAAGGAGGATGCTATCAAAATATGTTAAGTGAATACTTTTTATTATTCAAGCATGTACATTTCTACTATTTACAATCACACATGTACTTACAATTCCCAGAGTCTTTTAAACTCCTCTGGTCCCATAGGAATAACCATTTTGAACAACAAGTCCCTTAACTCTCTCTTCCTCAGGACTCCTTTGGTACCAATGGCATCAATCTGTGTAAATGCCTACAAGGAAAAATGTCATTTAATCTGGAGCAGAAACTCAAGAAAAATAGATGTAAACCCTCTGATTAACACCTGGACATGAGATCTCTGAACCAGTCTCACCTGAGCTAAGTCCTTCCACTGTCTGTGACATTTGAGTTTTAATGCTTCGTGTGCTGACTCTGCAGTCATCTCAGGTGTGGGGTAGGTGGTGTTATACCTGAAAAGATTAGTTGAATTATTATATGAATGCAACAGAAGATCTTAGAAATGTACTACCGGTACTCAGTTTAATATCTAGACTAGAATGATAGCTATGCCATGTAATTAAACAGAAATTCAATTTACTATGCTCTGAATTTATCTACTAAAAAGAATTTTCCTTCCTTTATGAGTTTGTAATGGAGAAAGTTTTTTTAAATGTTCAAACTTTTTTTTGGTCAATAATAAATTCAACAGACCTATGAACCGAGTTGAGCCACTTGTGCCCCTCCGCTGTGTCTCTGGTCTCAAACCTCTGGAGGAATTCCTCATAAGAAATCTTACTGGAGTTAGTAATTCCCATTCTCTTACACAGTTCTTGGAATTCATTGTCAGACATTATACACATAAAAGAATCTAAAATCCTCCTAAAGTTGGCCTTGTTGATCAAACCATTGTGGTCGTCATCAAACTTGTAAAATGCTGCTCGCAGATTCTGGAAATAAAACCCCAAAACTATCCTTTAACACATTTTAATTTAAATCTATACAAACATAAAGGTAATTATAAGACTAATAATCAAGTATAAATCAACAGCATTAGAAAATGGCAAAATGAACCCAAATAGTGAACATTTTCCATTAGAAATTTTTGAGAATTAAATATTTAAATATTCAAGACACCTTATTTTAGATAGTCATTGACTCTTGATTAGCGAACAAAATTTTCATGAATTGTTGTATATAATCTTAAGGAATACTATTATACGCAAATTAAATTTTCGCGAGCACACTGTGTTACGCGAAAATAAATCCGAATAAAAAGTGATTTACAGTACAATGTGCTCAAATGAAAAAAATCCATGTACATGCAAAATACTTTGTCCTTGAAGACAATAAACTTACTGCGAAGTTTTCTCGTAGTTTACCCCTCAGTTTGATCTCCACCTCGTCTGCCGTCATTCCCCGCTCGTCGCCGCGGATCGGATTTACGCGATGATTACCGGTCCTCTTGATCTCATCCCCCGGTCCCTGGATCCGTGGATCCTCGAAGGCACTGACAAAGTCCGAGTACTCCATCTGACCGTTCATAAAGCCCACACGCTCGGTCAATTCCTGGAACTGGTCATCGGTCATCAGGATACCAAACGTTCCCAGAACCTGATAAAACAACACATCACACCAGTGATTTCAGATAATATCATAAAGTAATGTATGTGTGCTTAAAAAAGTGGGCTTCAAATTTTAAGTTTGGAATATGATCAAACTATTAGACTCATTATGGGTGACAAAGAAGCATCATCTATAATACAATATACATTGTTGTGATAACTAATATGCTTTACTGATTACAAACAACTTCATATCCAATTATTACACTTAATTTTGAATATCCTAAATTATGTACACATATGGTATTTTCAATTTAAAATTTGAATTCTTTATATTAATTTGCCATAAATATCACATGTTCTAATTTGACTGAAAATATCTATAGTTATGTTTAACGTACCTCCCTGAAGTTCCTCTTGGTGACCCGCCCCTTCCCTGATTTGTCAAATGACAGGAAGGCCTGTCTAATCTGAACCTTGTGTTGGGACATTCTGTCCTTCAGCCGGGCGATGACCTCATCAGCGGTCATTGTGTTGGTACGATTTTGGGCCCTTCTATTAACCCGCATACTCCTAGAATATAAAAAAAGGATTGTAATTAAGCATCACTGCTTTAAAATAATGTATAAGTGTAATGTGGGAATTCCTAAAGAAAACATCATTTAGACTTTTGAATAAGGAGAAGGTAGCCCAAAAGATTCTTTAAGATACAATATTAAATACTTAGGATTATGTTATAGTTTGCCTTATCTTTTTTCATTTTACATGACTACCTTGCTATATGGTTTTTGATCCTAATTGCCTCCCTTTCCTCACTGCCCTGCTGGACCTGTGAACTGAGGCCAATCAGATCTCCGGGCCTTACGTCAACGTTCAACATCTCCAGGAACTCCACGTAATTAATCTGATTATTAACGCGGTCCTGACACCGAGACACCATACTGTAAAATACAAACAATTATTACTTCCCTAATACAAGCTTTTAAGAGTAATGTTACAATGCAAGTCATAAAATATAGCACAAACATACATTTACAAACTGTGCACAATTGAAATATCAGAAGCATAATTTCATTGTCTGTATGCTCTCAAAGATGCTTGAATATTTTATTTACAAAATTACTTTTGTTTACTCAGTAATACACATGTATTTAGTATTCCTTGCAATAAGAATATTTCTGTTACAAAAGAAATCAGATTTCTACTGACCTTTTGAAGTGATCTTCTGAGACGGGCAGCACACAGTTATCTATAACGGACTTCAGTTTGGGGATAGAAATGTATCCATCTCCCTTAGTATCGGCCACCATTATAGCTGCAGACACAGACTTCCAGTATTCTGTTATCTTCTCACGGAGGATCTCCTCTATCTGTCAATTCAATAAAAAATACTGTAATCAACAGTCTTAAAAAAACTGAGTGTCAAATTTAGTTCTAGGACACTCTGATGATAATAAATTCAAATGTGTGATAGACTTACTGTTTCCCAAGCCATGACAGCTGGTTTGGGTGTCTCATTGAAACGATGAACGGACTTCAGCCATTTGTGTCCCTCCTGTAAAAAGCAGCACACAACAAATAAGTAAACTACAAGTTTAAATTTACACATATAAATGTGAAGAACCTTATAAACATATGTATATAGCTGTAAAGCACAAAAGATAACAAATTCTGAATGACCCCTCACTTACTGGAGTGTCGGTCTCCTCAAACAATTTCAGGAAGTCATGGTAGGAGATGCTGTTGGTGTGGAATGGATCTAACTTTAACATCAGCTGTTTAAACTGCTCATTATCCAGTCTAAAGGCAAACTTCTCTATCACGTTTCTCAGCTCTGTACGAGTTATCCTTCCTTTACGAGTCTGTAATGGAGAAAACATGAATAAAATATCAATCATTTATTTTTATGTACGACAAATAAATTAATCATCTTCACTAAGTACAGTTACACACACTTATAACAAGTGTGTTTTACTGTAATATTAGGTATGATCAAGAAATTTTAACCCAGTATTAAAAGTATTGCAAACATCTTACAATATCAATTTGTAGAAAGGCCTGCTTCAAGGAGGGGTAGTGGGACTGGATATGTTTATACAGTAGCTTCCATATATCATCTGTTGGCACCACTTGTATTCCCTCACGGATCGGGAAAAATCTGCAAAAATGTGATTAAAATTATCACAGGTAGCAATGGTTATAACTATATTTCTATGAATTTTAGACGTCAAATGTAAGAGATTTTAATTTATTTGACCTACTTGTGATTGGGTCTCATGGGAATGGTCTGTCCATTTCCCCCTCCCTGGGGATCCTGAAACTTGTCCAGAAACTGCTCCCAGGATATTTTACCTGTACCTCTCACACCACACCTAAAACAAAGTAACACCCAAGAGTTATTCCCCTTGTGATCTTATCATTTTACAATGATCCATTCCTGATATCATTTATGGTAGAATGTCTCAGAAGCTTAAAGAATATTTGTATAATTTCACACAAGGGAAAGAAATACCACACCTTTCCATCATCTGCTTGAAGAGTTGGTCAGACATAGGGATGGTAAACTGACACAGAATGGACTTTAGGTCCTCCAGACCAATAAATCCATCCAGGTGCTGATCAAAGGTCAGGAATATCTTCTTCAGGTTCAGGTAGTTCTTCTTCATCTACAAGACAGATTTTTTTTTTTAAAAATGTAAATTTGAAATTTGGATTTTCCAACTTTCATGATTGTTTTAGAAATCAGATCACCAAAGACTATGGTAAAAAAATCAATGCATTATTTCCGAGAGTAAATGATAATTTAATGTAAATGATCTGCTGTAAGGATTGAGTACTGATTATTATAAAACAATTGCTTATAATGAAGTGCCAGGGACAGCCAAATTCGTTTTCATTATAAACATAATTTATATTTGTTTAATTCACAATATAATTTAAAAGAGTAGAAAAATGAGAATCTTTTTGATGTAATTATCAATTTCTTGTATGTGTGTTGGCTACAATTAAGTGTGTTTTATTGGAATTCCTTTAGTAAGAAGGTACACTTACCCTGTTTCTGAACTCTAACTCTATCTGGTCAAAGTTCAGCCTCTGTAAAGCTTCCTCATCATCCTTTCTCTGTTTGAAGATCTTACTGTTTGAGGCAGGGATCTGCTGGGGCCACAAAAGGGCTGAAAATAAAGAATTCAATTACTCAAAAAAATAATATCAGTAGTTGATAGTTTATTAATGACTTTCTTTGTAATGGAAAAGATGAAATTGCTAAGGAGTATGCAAAATGAGATTTGTTTACAAAATAAAACGGAGAGAAATATTTTTTATGAATTAATGATGCATTATCATGACCTAGCAAACTATGGGTACAGGATTGTCCCTAAGATCATAAGGCCAAAGAAATTTCCCTGCCTACAATGATGTTATCTCCCTATAATTCTGGTATTCCCACTCAACCCCCAATCAGGGGGAGGAACCTCAGATCTCTTTTAACTTTTAATGTACCCACTATTTAGATTCTTAGGGAAAACCCTAAGGTCAAAGCATGTAAGATATGCATGTGCTGTGACATGGCCTTTAACTGCATCAGGCATTGACAGGTATACAGTAATTCATTATGGTAAAGAAATGTGATGCTTATATATCAGAAAATTTTATTTTTTTGAATGAAAGAATGACAAATCATCAAATTCAACACATATTTTAATGTGTCTGCCATAGAGGCAACCATGCATAATGAACTTTTGAATGAAAAATTTTATCAAAGTGGTGAACAAGCAATATCATGCAAAATGTATATCAACTGAAATAAAAAGTGATGATACATGTTTGACCATGCGTTCTATATTTAATGATTACAGAGAACAATAGACATGCATGACTGATCTTCAGAATGAACATATCTGGACCAGAAACACAGACAGTGAGGACATGCAATTAAACAGGTGTCAGACTTCACCTTTACCACTGGGCCTGTAAATTTGTCACTAAATAAAAAAAAAGACAAAACCCTGGAATGTCAAAGATCTCAAATCTGCATGTTTTAGACTATTCAATAACAAATGCTAATTAAATACACTGTTTTATAAAAGTGTTTTAGACTTAGTGAATCAAATTTTATAGACTCCTGATTACCTCCCTTTGCCCCGTCTACTGGGGGGCGCCCCTGGTTACCAACGGAGACTCCGAGTCGTGACAGGAACTCCTTATAGTTCACCAGACCCGTGTGATGGAAGTCGTACCGCAGCCACAACCTACAGAGAAGTAAAGAACAAGTCTGTTACTGTAATATCAAGTAAAGCTCTCGCTTATGGAATGTGTTGGAGTAAGGATAAACATGTATAAACCTTATTTCATAGATAACCTGAAAATTTTACTGTGGAATCAGCTAAAGGATGGATGCATATACAAGTAGCCATTAATCACATTTTGCATTGTAAAACACCTGAATGTTTTATAGACTTACTTCTGAAACTGGTCATCTGACAGTTTGAAGCAGTAGTTCTCAATAACTCGTCTGAGTTCATGTCTCTGGATTTTACCATCTCTGTTATAGTCAAACAGCTGTAGTGCCTTCACTACAGCCTTAAAATTCTGACTTATCTGGAATAATGAAACAATAAAAATACTCAATATGTCACTGAATTCACAATCATAATTTTAAACATAAGCTTTTCTTATTTATTGACATATCATTGCTTATCTGCCTTACCTTATCTTTTAGCATTTTTTCAATCATGTCAATGTTTATCTCCCTTGCTGCAGGAGGGGGAGCAAATCTAAAAGAGAAATAAGTTGATACATTTCACAACCTATACAAGACAAAGATGAGCAGTGTCTCTTCTACAACAGTCATAATAAATTCAAGACAACCTTACATATACCAAGGCACACAATTCCTGTACCTTATTTCTAAAGAATAGCAACATTACATTCATTGCAATTTTATCCTCCCGATCTGTGGACTTACTTCTGAAATCCAGCCCATTGACCGCCACCAACAGAACTCGGGGGTTGTCCGTAAAACTTCTCCATGAAGTCTGGATATTTGACTGTCCCATTGGGGTTCTTTTCCACCTAGTGGGGAGGGAGAATGGATTAGTACTTAGACCACTTCACACAGTCATGTACCAAATAAAGTCACGATAAAAAATAAATCCTGGGAGATATGTCATCTCCGAGCTAGCCAACACCGGACTAAATTACACTCCAAAAAAGGCAATTCTTCTCTGACATTAATACTGTGTAATGCAGAAACATCATTCTCTTGTGATTCAGTCTATAGCACTAGATAAGCTTATGATGGAAATGTACACATTCTTAAGCCATCTTGATCAGTTTAAATTGGTGAATTGTTAAAAAAATCATTAATTTGATAAATTATTTGAAATTTGAGGGAATGTGTATTGTTTTTGATTAGAATCTAATAAGTCAAAAATAGAAGGAATTGTTTAGATATTGTTATGCAGACAATAGATTACATTAATGTACCAGTATAAAAGATTTACAACATTTTGGGATCTGTATGAAACAACACCAAAAGTAAAAATATAATATAATTTTTGTTACATATCCTTTTGGACTATTCTAAATCAGTATAATAGAAATTTTAAAATTTAGACATGCATTTTACTACATGTACAGTATAAATAGATCTGATTTGGGGGAACAATATAACCCCCCAATGGAAGTCAAGCAAAAGAATAGTGTTAATAAATAATATACAGTGGCATGCTCCATGCTCTTTGTTACAAAAATGTTTTATCAAAATCATGATATTACTGCTGATATCACTTGTGTTAGAAAGGATGAGGTGACATAACTGCTATCTGGGGCCCCTTTCTCCACGACGAATTATATTTAATCTACAACGAGGTTAAAATGAATGAATAAATACGACGCCAAAAATGACACATTTTTTATAAGGAATAAACAAATCAAAAGGTTTGTGCAATTTTCTTTTAAAGACGGGTCTTAGTACAATGATATTTATATTGTTATTATTTCGCACTTAGTCATTGTCCAATCCGATGACAGAACAACAAAACAATTACATTTTATCACAGACACGTGGTTTAGATTAATTTACCTGTTATCCTTTTCTACATTTCAAACTTTTATAATTCAGCCAATGCTTTTTAATACTACGCATGGATTTTCAGCATTTACATAGGACAAGAAATGCACATGAAACTTGTGAAATAAGTGTAGCCCATCGAATTGCTCACCAAACACGCTACAAAACTTTAAACTAATGCATATCATGTATATTCTATCCATTGTTTGTAACTGTATATAAATTTTACTGTGGTCTCGGAAATGGTACACATGTAGATCCGTGTCTAATCTGTGACTCAAATGCCTAAAAAATATCGGAAACCAGTAAAATTCCAAGCATGTTTCCATAGTATTTTTGCATTGACAAAAGAAGTGATATATGATATTATCATGGTCTTTTTATAAAATAGATTACAATTTTTTAAGAAATAGCATGTGAGCGCAGTTAGGTACAATTTTCTCCTTTTGCATATAGGTAGATTTTAATAAAATACAGTGACCAGCCAAAGGAGAAAATTGTAAATATATGGCAAGCAATGGGAATTGAATGTAAACATGATACCCCTACCTCAATAAAAGCAAAATTCTATTTTTGTTAATAATGTATTCTATAAATAAACATATCAAATACATACAAAAATTTGAGTAAAATTTAGACATTTAATTTTTTGTCAGTATACGAGGGGCCGCAAGTCACCTCATCCTTTATATACAAAAACGTATAGGCCTAATTATTTTTGAATGTTCACAAACTCACTTATGCAATTGACAAAAGAAGTGATATACATGTATAAGATTATCATGGTCTTTTTATAAAATGATTACATTGAAATATATGGCAAGCAGTTGAATCTTACCTTAGCAATTCATGATAAAATATCAAATTACAAAAAAGGGAAAAAAATCTAAATAGTATAAACTACTAGAGAAATCCAGAAAAAAATGCAGGCTGATATGAATTTTATGGAGGAACACAATATTCCTTAAAATAACCTGACCCCAGGTAAAATCAAACAGTGGCATCTCTATAGCAACTGAAATAAAAACAAAAGGGTGATGTATCCAAAAAATGGCATAGGGTGCTATCAAAGAAAACTATACCAAGGAATAAATGAAGAGATACATATTTTGCACTTTATTTTGACTTCATTTATAATTTTTTATCAAACTCTGATGAGGGTGCATTTCAGATGATTCAGACATAGAACTGGGTGTAAGAGGCAAACTGAAGCCACAATTTAATAGGTTAAGGTATGAGTGTCACACTTAAGGTCAACTACAAGTACAGAGTTATGTACCTTGGCTAATACTGCCTCAAACTGTTCTGAGGTCAGGGGGAGACAAAAGGATTCTAACACTCGACGGAATTCCCCTTTTGTTACCCCTTGATTGTGTTCAACATCATAAGTCATAAAGGCCTGAAAAGACAAAAATAGGTGTGAGTGAATTCTATCTAAAAAAAAATATGTATACACCTGTAATAAAAAGTTTAGGAGAAAAAGAGGCCCAAATGCCTTAACAGTTACCCAAGTTCTTTGTTGTGGCCTTGTACCTGTAAGCTATAGGATTCACTTTAGTGAAATGAAAAGTTAATTTGTTTTTGTGATGAGGTTGGACTATATATACCATGATATTTACCATCATCAAGATCATCTTTGATGTAGATACAAGTAACTTTGATCATTTTACTTGGAATTGATCACCCAAAACAGAACTAAACACAACAAATAAATAAAATATTGTAAGATGCAAAAAAACATTATCAATCCGCAGACTTCACATTGCTAGAGGAGACATTTCAAAAAGAATTTTCATTATTCTGTAAGAAAATCTAGGTAATACGAGATATAATAGCATTTACAACAAAGTGGTCATGCATCCACATACCAATCTAAACAATTTAAGTAAACTATTCAATATTCATTGATTAAATCACCGCACAAAATCTATTTCCTGCGAATGATCCGCAGGTTTAAATAGCTGGACTCATAATTACAGCCATTCATTTTTACCTCACCGAATGGGTATCAAAGATAACAGAGGACCTAATCAATGCTGTTAAATTTAAAGGTACACTGCCCAGATTAAAGTTTTTGTCAACTAACAGCCAGGCCCATTACTAATCCGGCCATTCACAAGGTCACATCAGGTTTGGATTATTGGTTTAATTTAAATATAAAACAGATAGTAGCTGTTGTCATTGTGTATCACTCAGTGGGGCTTATATAACACTCTAATCTATCCATTTGGAACTATTTACCTGTTGTATTATTTATTGAAAACCTCTCCAGAATGAATAGCAGAACTCTGGCCTGTTCTGATAACTTTCTTCCTTTTTATAATCAAATGATCATATTTTTTAAGGTTAGGATTCCGAAAATCGGAATTTGATCACATCTTTTTTTGTCCCCTTGCTAAAAGTGGGGGATATTAATTTTGGTCTGTCTATCTGCCTGTCTAACTGCCTGTCCCTCAGTCTGTGTGTAATTATGTCTGTCTGTAAAGCTTTCATTTCCATGCATTATATCAAGAAGCCTCTGATCTTTAGCACTGAAACTTTACACAATACTACTAACTCCCCATGGCCTATATGGAAGATCCCTATTGATTTTAAGGTCAAAATGTCATTTGAGGTCAAAATGTCAAAGGTCAAGGTCATAAATTCAAATTCTGTTTGTTTTAAAAATTTGTTTTTCCTGTGATATCTACAGAAGCGTTTCAGCTTTTGCAAAGACATTTTCTACCACTCCCTATGGCCTAAGGAAGACCCCTATTTATTTTGAGGTCAAAAGGGTCAAGGCAATAAACTCAAACATTTGGTATGTGTGTAAAACTTTCATTTCAGGGCAATATATCAAGGTGCTTTTGAGCTTATTCCATTAATTTTTAAACCATAACTCCCTGTGCCCCTTCCACCCTTCTTAAAGTGCCCCACCCCCTAAACCCCCCTTCCGGGTCAGCACATTCTCATCTTTTTTCCTTCAGCAGCGGAAAGAAGATTCTCTGAATTAGCTTGTTTCAATTAACTGTCTTTGGGTTAAAATTAATTAATTACATGGATAAATCTGAGTAAATGTATATACTGTATATATATATTTTTATATTTTTTTGGGAAGGGGGGTTAAATTTTTTTTATGTTTATTGAATTTCAAAACAAATACAAAAGTATTTATTCAAGGAGAGTGAAAAAAGGGTGGTTTCACAAGGAAATTTCAGATATACAATATTTGTTCAAACAATAATTAAGCTTGTAAGAAATGGATTTCTGTAAGTGTTTGAGTGTCCTGTTTATGAAGCTACACTCACCTGCATTATATTCTGGTGTTTGGCCCTCACCTTCTCTCTGAGGAGTGCCTCCACCTCAATACTAGACAGGCTAGCATTGACAGGCTGGATACCTCCCTCAGAGCCTAAAAAACAAACAACAAAGGTGACTACTAGAAATCAGAGAGCCTCCACCTCAATACTAGACAGGCTAGCATTGACAGGCTGGATTCCTCCCTCAGAGCCTAAAAAACAAACAACAAAGGTTACTACTAGAAATCAGGGAGCATCTTCCTCAATACTAGACAGGCTAGCATTGACAGGCTGGATCCCTCCCTCAGAGCCTATAAAATCAGTTTAATATTGAAAATCAATTCCTGATGAACAGTACAGTGAAAATGATTTTACTGTCATTTAAATAAAAAGCTTCATATTACAATCTGTGTATATTTTCATCCTGGTGTATCAAAATTGATGTAATTCCAATTAAATTGCATCAAAATTGTTTTGATACAACAATGTATAATATTCATGAGTGAATTTGTGTCCCAAACTAAATTTGACTTACCAGAATAAATACAAATTAAAAAGGCTTTTAAAAAAATGAAATTTTTCCTTGTACAAGGCTCTAACTTGACTTTATATTGGATGTGAATTATCCTTACTTAGAGAAGATGACCGGCCACTCCTGGGCTTGATGTTTTCTTTGGTTCGGAGGACGGCGGGGCGGGCTGTGAACTGCACCCCCTGTGTCTCCGGAAGCAGTGTGCTGGCTGCTGCCATTTTCCTTCACACTCCTATAATATGAAGTCTGCATTTTACTCAGATTACAAATATATCAGAAAGTGCAATATTGTTTGTATAAATTAGAAACTGAAATCAAATGAAGTTATGAGATAAACATGCATATAGGGAATTGCATATGACAAAAAAATAAGTTGTTTCAAAAGTAATTCCCTATTTCCTGGACCAACTAATTATATGAAATTTTATACTTCTTTGCTATTAAAGTGAATTCATTAGAAGTGTGTTCACTGTAATCATATTTTACTGATATGATATACACTCGATTCTCATTATATCAACAACAATACATTTCTATCAAAAAAACATATGGATACATAGCCTTTATTCTTTTTCATTGATGGACAATAAAAGCAAATGTCTTTTTTGATGAAAATTGGAACATCTGTTTGAAAAAAATATTTAAAAAAAACCCTAATTTTTCAGTCACGTTTTTATTATTTTTAAGCATTAAATCTATAACCTTGTAAAAATTATACTGTAGCTCATCTTTTAAAGGTCTTAAGTTTGTATACTTATTTACTTTTCCTGTAGAATTGCTTTATATTCAAAAATAAAAATTGAGGTCCATTTTACATAATTTGAATGTTTTCCCATATAGCGATACATTGAACTCTCCAATTTTAGAGGTAAATAAGACTTCCTGTTTTAAAAATTTAAAACTTGGAATTGTCATCAAGTTTTAAATATAATTTACACTAAAAAGTTAGTCCATAGATTGGTTTATTAAAATTTTTTATGAAAGTTAAAAGTAAAAAATTGGAATATCACTTTTTATGCAAAAGGATTAAGTACCGCGATATAATGAGACACCAGTATACATTCATATTTCACAAAATCACAACTATAATATAGTTGTAATTTTGTGAAATATGAATGTAAATATATTTCTATTTAAAAAAAACCCACATATATACATGAAAACATAGACTGTAAGCAAAGATTTTAGATGAAAATATACAGACTGGAGTAATAATTTTAAGTAGAAATCACTAAATTTTGTTATATTTGGGTGGGGGTGGGGGATACAACACGCAAAAATACCCACCAAACACATACTTCCTTGCCACCCAATCCTGTTAATTTTTCCTACATACGGATGTATTTTGTTTATATAAAAAAAATGTTTTAAATAAATAAATTTCATATGAATAAAAAAGGCTTTTAATAGGCCTAGCCTATAACTTAAAATCTGGAATCTTTATCAGTTGCCCTAGCGTGAATATGAATATGTTGTTTTGATTCTGTCAGTGTTATATTGGGATATATAATAAACATAGTTACAGCCTCCGGGCACCACTATTCACTAAATCTGTTTATTAGAAAAAACGATCGAGAACACCTGCTCCTACCAGCCTACGCGGGAGTAAGAACGTTACACGGTTTAATTTCTAACGTCAGTTCAATTTTGTGCTTATTTTCGTGAATTTTTGTCAATTTACCTCTGCACTTTGCTTAACAATCGATATCCCTCGTATATTACATTAATCCATGCTTATTTTGTGAACAATTGAAGGGCAAGTAGATTAAAAGTACAATAAATAAAACGGAAATGCAACAGAAAACAGCACAGGATTCCCATGGTGCGGGAATTTTAAATTAATATTATTTGTATAGTTTTGTTTAAATACCAGCACGCAGGTCCGACGAACAAAAAAAATTATTGGTGTGGCCTTATTGAGAATATCTCGTACAGAAAAATAAAGAGCTGAACTGTGGCATCTTTAACACCTATATCTCGAACACATCGATATGTCAAATTAATGTAGAAATCCAAAAGACTTTTTCTTTAAAACTTTTCTCTCAATATGATACATGTATCTCAAACCCTCCAATATTTTTGTTTTATCTTTGTCTCAAGAAGTTAAAGGTAATGAGATTTGAATGTCAAACATGAAAGTTTCAACTAAACTGTACATAACACAAGTCTCAATTTCAGAATCCTGACCATATGATGATATTTTCGTTTTCTTCTTCTTCTTCTTTTTTTTTTTTTTTTTTTTTTTTTACAATTTTACCATGCTCTCAAGCAAGATATATGTGTTTGACTGTTACACAGTTGAACTTCCGTGGTATCTCGAAGCCTATCTTGAATATCATGGATATGTCAGAGTGATTTGGAAGTCGTATCCTCAATATGGAATACTTGGATATCTCCAAGTATTTTTTGTATATACAAATCCATTATCCATTTACAGGTTGTTTCTTTACAGCACCTGCATCAGCTGATTAATTAATGTTTCTAAGAAACTAGTTTCAGTTGAAAAATGATCAATGAAAAAAAATCATTAATGGTTTTGGCAAAAAAATAGGAGGTTTAAAACCAAATTGAAATCTAAACTTTTTTTTCTCGCAATAAAATATACCCTGAAACAAACATAAAGTTAATTCATTTCTACTTCAAAGAAAAATTGATATAAAATACTAAAAAGATTAAGAGTTCAATATACATTACAGTTTTATTTGCATTTGCCATTTTCCCCTAAAATATATTACTATTTGACATACACTTCATACGTAGTGACAGATATACATATCGTTCATTGCTGTTGGACATTGTGACAACCAACAACTCAACAAATACTTATAAAGACAGAAAGTTGATACACAGGGACATTAGTGTGTGTGTAATAACAGAACCACTTTTGGCATAAAATCATAATTATTTTTCTTTCATCCCTTGAGGTTATGAATACACAATACAGTTGGCCATTTCAAATAAAATTAATATATTTTCTGTATTTTATTTGGGTAATTAATGCATGTAGTTCTAATCTATCAAACATTGTTAACGAGGCTGAGGGGTGGCAGCCATTTTCAGACTATTTCTATCTCCTTTAA